AACAAAAGAGGAGACAGTTCCTTATAGCGTCAGATGTCAGCTAATAATATCTGAATTCAAAGCGCTTGCGAGAGAGTTTGCTTTCTCTGGCAGTCCGCTGACAGATTTTTTGAATGACCGGTAGCACCATTGCTTAACACGGGGGGACCCTGCACAACAACGTCGAGTGGCTCAAAGAATTCCTCCTGACGCGTTCTCAGCGTCGTCGAGTCCGCCTCTGCCTTATTTACGCAGGTAAGACAAAGTGCATAGTCAACACAACGCGCGGCGAAAGAGCGGCTTGAGTGCATTAAAATCCTGTTTAAGGCAAACAATTGCGCGCGCAAGAGGTGCACACGCGCGTACTCCCTCCCTCTCTCTTTTATCCTTCAACCGTGATACGAGTCGTTATAATAATTACGTTAAGTCTCGCGCGGAAGATCAATATTTTTCACAAAGTTTCAGAGTACACTCCTCGTGTTGGAATCGTTTTTCTCAACAACGTTCCTTTCTCACGTCAGCGGCAATTGCATTTCATTCTAATTGCTATCAATTGTTTTTATCACTGCTGCAACAGCGCTGAATTTTTTTCGTTCAAAGAAAGCCAAACGGAAAAAAGTTATTGTAACTTGTGCTACTTGTGAAGGAACAAGATGTAACTCAAGTGATATCGACCGTCGTTGATCCCTTCGTTCTCGCAATTATACCCGCTTTTAGAATTTTCCGCCACGATCGGGCAGCTATACCCCGCCAGATACATCGGCGCGGCCCTGCAATTTCACACTGGAAAAAGTTTAATTACTCCCGGTGCCGGGGACATATCCTGGTGTAAACATACTGTCGCGTTGGTTATACAAGCGAGAGACTCGGCTCTCAACTAAACTCTTTCATGAAGGGAACGCAGCAAAGCCGAGACGTAATGTCCGCATTCACTTGGTCGCCGGATGTCGTTCCGCTTGCTCTCTCTTCCTCTCTCTATATCTCTCCCTCTCTCTCTCCCCGCCTTTGGTTTTTTATTTTATTTTATTCTCAGTCCGCGAGACGGAGTTTAAATTGGTCCGCTTTCCGCCGGCAATCAAAGTCTAATCAAACTTTAACGAGTATCACGAATGCTCCCTGGGTACCCGTCAAGCCGAGAATTCCAACTATCTCTGTCTTCCGCAGGACTGCGGATAACAGCGGATTTACGACTCTTTTAAAAATTTCAACAGCGCCGACGGTAGCCGATCTAAGGAGCGACACATTGGGATTAAACGTGACAAGCCGCTTCTTCTTGTTGAACGTTCCTTGTACGTACACGAAGTTGGAGTTTCTCGCGTCGCGTCGGTTCGCACGCATTTTTTCGGCTTATTTCGATCAACGACTCAATGACTTTCTCTTTCCACCTGGCTGCCCGATCGGTTCCGAACCGTTATCGCATATTAACCAAGCGGAAACACTACCCAGGTTTTACTACCGACAGCTCGGAGAGCACAAGGAGCAATCTATCAATTTCTTATTAACAAACTTTGGTCGTTATGCCCGCGAGATGAAATTTTATGTATTTAATGCCGTGCGTCTTAAACGTCTTTTTTCAGCAAGCCCTTAAGAAGCGCCTCTCTTAGGTGCATATCCTCTCGCTCGATAATATTTGCATAATGGACTTTCGCAGAGAATTTATTCGCTTGCAATTTACGCAAGCACGCGATGCTTTTGATGAATATACTGTTCAAGACTAAATTTCAAATACGCATTTATTTATTTATACGAACAGTTAAAATCGAAATGCATGCTCAATTCGAAGTGCATACCTACAGTAATATTGCGTGTAACTGATCGTTCAATCTAAACGTATTTGTTATATTGTATTTAAACATATTGCAAAATGAAAAATTGATTAATAAATAGCGAATAGGCGCTGAATTAAATATAATTGTACGAAAAGTTATTCAAAATGTTAACACACTGAGAAAAAAGGTATATTTTCATTCTCTTATTTTCTTCATTCCTTTAATGTAATTTTGCATTCCACGTCCGCGTGAAAATAAAAGGTCTTAAATCCCGGCTAATAATAATCCTAGATTTCGCTGTTTCTCGGTGCGGCACGCAATATTCATGCGGAACTGTCGTTAACTGAGCGTAAGATACGTAAAATAGAATTTGCTCGAACAGAAGCATTAATTTACCGAGTGAATGCATAGTACATGCCATTCCCTTTATGCGCGTAATCGTATAACGATTATGAAATTAACTTCAAGAACACAAATATGGTTAGAATATAATTACCTACATAAAGTGCATTTCAATCCAATGTCCACATCACAAATTTATGAGAAAAAGTATTTTAATTATTCCTCTATAAATTCTTTAACGAATTAAAGCGCCATTCTTCCAAGAATAGCGTAAAATGGCTGAATAGAGACTGTGATGATTAATCGATAAATATTGTTGTAGTTTATTCTCTTCGTCTAAAATATTTTAGTGCTCGATATTTGATACATATATTATAAATACACACATACACACATATATATATATTTTTTTCACAAATATTCTTATATACGTATATATAATGTATAAGAATATGTATATTAAGATAACCGCGAAAGAGAGCATATTATGCCTCTTTTAACTGCAACCGCAAACAATAAACTGGGAAAATAAGAAAACCTCAATGGCTGTAATTTAAACATGCAGCCTAGGAGCGATCTCGTTTACACCGTTCATTTCTTTGAGATTCTCAATAGGCCGCGGTCTTCCAGCGCTAAACGAGCTTCAAAAGGCGCATCGTGGCCGTCTTTTCGTGTTTTTAACTGAGCTGCAAGCTCGTCGCTTCAGAAATTACCGCTTATTTAAGCTTTAGTTACCGCGGGCAATGTAACGGTAAAGTGCGGAACTTGTATTTGCAATGTCCGCCATTATTAAGGAGGCTGCTGCTGCAGCGGTGTAAAATAACAATATATATATTTTGTATGTTCCATGAATGACACATGTTATGCGCTCTCCGATATTTTTTCTCAATTACAATTTTAAATTATTGTATTTGTTATTCTGCTGTATTGCATATCTAAACAGATCGAAAACCAACTCTCGCGCCGCGCTAAAAGCATTCGTTTGCAATGGTAGCTTATAAAGCACGATTTCAGCTAAAAAAATTCAAGCAAAATGATTGCGACGCGTAAGGGAATACGAGGAAATGTGGAGTCGACAGGACATAGATTCCGATGCTCACGTATACGAGCCGGTTTATATTTAGGGGTGACACGAGCTGGGTAGCGAGTGATAACTCAGAGGAAGGATGGACTCGCACGAACGTCCTTGTAGGAAGGGATAGTTTTACGGGTATACGCAAGCGGCAGGGTGTGTGTTAATTGATGTAATTATATCCTCCTTGCGGCGAGATACGCAAACGGAGAGACACGCATACACGTGTATGCGGAAAACGGCAGGTCAGCAGGATGTATATAGGTATTCATATATGTGCGATATATTGTGCCGATGTGACAGGACATTTATGTAGAGGGGTTGAACTGTAATCGACCTCTGTAATGGACTTTCATTGATTATTATCGTGCTTATTAAGCCGGACACCTGATGACGCTTATTTTCTTGATGATCAGTTACGATGGCAAAAAAAGAGAAGGGAGAGACAAGATACTGAAGGATACTATCTGCGTTCTCTTATCTGATTGTGAACAGAATTATTGAATATGCGGATGGTTCCGCAACTGTAATTTGAAAGCAAAATGGTGCAATTGTTTTGTTACTAATAAATAATTTCCCCGAGGAAAATAAACACCACATAAATATCACGTAATTGTGAATTCGAAATATTAAAAGGAGAGGAAACCATTTATGCAACAGAGTTAGTTGGAACAGAGTTTTATAATCACCATTGCATTGTACCGTGATGCTCACGTAAATCATTAATACACCGATTTATTAAATAATTCCAGTTTCTTTTTGTTCACGCGTTTTTGCGAAATTTGATCTTAATTATAATTTTACAATTTAGTGTGTCATTGAAATAATAAAAAACCTTAAAGTGCAGAATTTTAATTGGCAGTAACCATTTTTATGTTGCATCCAGATTGGTCATGCCGTAGTATTCTAATTAATAAATATTGCAGTTAGTAATATATATGTAAATATAATAACTGTACAGGCTGTACTGTACTCCAAAAAATATCTTACTAAAGGTAATTTTAAGATGCCTTTTTAGAATTTTAAAGATGTGTTCAAGACGTCTTTTGATAAAGTTTTAAAGACCTTTTTTAGACACGCGTGTTATCTGAGAAACTGTCGCGTCGAGCAGCGTAACAGACTTTTTCCGGCGCAACTCAAAAGCTCTAGCGATCGCGCCACTTTGTGACGTTATCACAAAGGAGGTTTAGTTCTTACAATCAGGCCACTTTCAGGGTAACGCTTTGCGATATATGTGTACCAAGACGGTGCGCCCGTTCAACGATCCCTTTTCGATCTATCGCTGTACGTTACTTTTTGTTCAGGGCGGTGTCACGCGTCGGTAGTAGGGAAACATTGAACCGCTCCCTTTTTGATACCTTCATTCACCTAGACAAAAGGGAAAGGCTTGAATTACAAAATACAAAACAAGCACGCCTGGTGAAGTCATTTAGTAGCTGGGAAAACGTGCACAACATTTACCCCGATTCCCGGATTCCGTTCACGAATTTGCTGCCGACGATCGACGAGTTGCGCCACGCAATCTGTGTGGGTAATCGAAAAGTACGAAGGGCCAATCGCACCTCTTAGCCGTATATCGCCATTTCTTTCTTTCCTTTCATCGACACGACGACGTTGAGATGTCGTTAAGAGAGCGAGCGATGAAAGAAAAGTTACTTATAGCGCTTCCTGCTTTACGAATTGCGAAGTTCTATTCCGCGTTCGATAGAACGTTAGGTAGGATTGGGGAAAAGCGGGGTGGATTGCGTTATATACTAGCGGGGGAATAGGAATATCTCTCCGGAGAGATCGATAGAAGTTCCAGTTGATCGAGCATTTTGCATCGACTGTCGCGGCAGGCAACACCGATGCATCGATGCTGAATCCGTTGTTGCTGGGCTTGGCAGCCATGGCGACGCTTTTGGCCCTGGCCGTTGCTGGAATCCTGGCGGCGCTCTACCGGAAGCACTCCACCGGCCGACCCGGAAGTCCAAAGCACGCTCCCATCGTATGCGAGCCGCCTAATGCAGGTGCAACCACCCCGGTGCACCCTCAGACCAAGCAGGCGGTCGATGACATCGATCCAGACATCATACCCAACGAGTATGGTGAGTCCGTCCTGCATTCCGATATGGAAAAGAATTGCACAAAGCGAGTGTTTATTGGTGGCTCTTTTTTATATCGATGAGAAACATAACTGATCTGTCGCATATGCATATTGTCTTTCAATTGTATCGAGAACACACATACCGCGGAAAACGAGTAAAGGAGTGATAAAAATGACATCTTCGGTCTTCTTTCCAAGGAGATATAAAATTACTAGATAAAAAATTTTCTAGATATATAAATATATAATTTCAATGAAAAAGATATAAAAATTTCCAGTTTTCATTGAACTTTAATTATAAGACGAAACATACTATTCATTCAAAACGCTGATATAGAAAGATAAAAACATTATATTCTATATGAAGATATATAAAGATAAATATATTTCATTTCAATTATTCATCGACAAGTATATATTTCTATTTAAAGAAAATACATTTCTCAATCGTATTCTAAGAGAGGTAATTAATGATTGCAAGACTGTTAAATAATAAATTATATCAAAATTATATATTAGATAATAAATTATGACTTTGTTCAGACTTTGGAACAAATTGATGCAGCAATTTGAGCGATAACGATGGCGTGTTTAATATTAAATCGAATTAAAACTTGCTCCATTAAATGGAATTTAATATATATAATATATATCTATTTTCTCAATAAATTTATGTTACATTACCCATGAATTTCTTTTACGTTGTATCATATATTCTGTTAATCTTTATGTATATATGAATCTAACACGGTTAAAATATTAGCAAGCGATAGTCGATATTTTATAATTTATGTTCGACTTCGTTTCCAGATTACGTATGAAATTACAAATTTTCAGCATGATACCGATAATACCAATATTCAGCATGATACCAATAATTCAACCGAGCTTTTTGTATAATTAATGTTATAATTGTGTCAAATTAAAGACTGCATAAAATATTAACGAAAAAGGCAAATATATTGGTCTTGAATGGATATGTACTCTTGAAAGAACGCATTATGCATATTTTAAATCCGCGTTGAGCACAGACATAATAAAACCCTCTCATCTAATATAATTTTCCAAGTGTATAATAATAAACACGTAATATTAGTTTTTGTACTTATAGCAAGCGAGTCTATGAAACAAACTTCTCATTTAAATTCATTTCAGCGCGATGTTACTTTTTCCATGAAAATACATTTTCCATTTGCGATATTAATACGCGAACTACGTCGCGGTGAGCGAGCTGCGTGAATAATGATAATGTCAGGAAATAAAGTTGGATTGAGATACTTAAAAATCGAGAGATCCCTCATAATTTTCATCTTTCGTAATGAAAGTTTCATCGATAGAATAGCGCATATTCTTGCAGGGTCTTATTGCAAATTCCACCTTTTTCGATGCAAAAAAAAAGAAAAAATTGAAAAAAGCCGTCATGAAGAATCAGTCGCGAAGCTTATGTTAGATTTTCGCATTTACAAGAGATACAGTACTCATAAAAAAATAACTGTTCCTTTCTCCTGATTTAATCGACTAAGCGGCTTAGTCGTTCGGTCTCTGCATGGCTTCCGTAAATCTGTCCGCAGAAAGAAGACCCCTAACGTACACTCCCGTCTATAAGACACCGCCACAACGAAAAAAGAAAGATCGCGCCACCGATGAGGACGTCTCGCCGGAGAAAAGGCCGATCGTTCAGCACGGTCTGGACCTGCCTCCGGATCCGATGTTGACCGACTGCCTGCCAACGCCTACCATAAATTATCCGCAAAATCACGTGTCTCAGCAAAGCGCTTACAATCATCCGCCCACGATGGCTGATTTCAAACAGATGGCGATGGACGCCTATAATCAGCGTAACAACCAAAACGTAAGTGATTGTGATAAAATATTGCATCTTATTTGTTATTTCCTGTTGTTAATCCGTAAATATCCCTACTATTTCCTTTGTCGAAGGAAAAATCAATGAGAGCTGCAATTTTTGAACAATAATGTAATTATATTGAGTTGAACAAACTATAATTCAATATGATTGACGAAATTACAATCTTTCGCAATGTTACAAATAGCGTTTATTTAATATTTTATTTAAATTTTGGGACGAGAAAACTCTTCAATTTTTACACTCAAATAAGCGAACGGGTAAACAACGAAATTAAAAATAAGGTCGAACCACTATGTTCGAGCGCATCAAATAAGCGCTGCATTTTTTATTTTGTAATATCTGATTGGATCTTCGTTAAAACATTGCGTCTAACTTCCGCAAAGCTAAGCCAGACAGGCTGTTTTAAATATTAGAAGCTTGGAGCAGAGTGATGGGAAGTTAGTCAAGAGGAGGAATCGGTTGCTTCAATATGCGGCAGTCTCTCACTTTAACTTTTCCGGTTTAGCAGGGTCTTGAGTTATCTGCGCTTTCGTAAGTTTAATTACGTCCAAGTTTTCTCGATAATTTGACGAGGCCAGTCCCAATGTACGTAACTCGTCTTCGTATTCGACTTCCGCTGTTCTTTATCGGCGATTGCTTTCTAAAGTTAATATTAAATATGGAAAACAAAAATTTTATCAATCAATAATTTCATCGATTTGTTAAACTAATAATTATACTAAAAAAGTAATACAATATCCAAAATGATATTTATAATATTATTGAATAATAATAGCTTCATAAAATATATATTATAAGCCATTGTAATCATATAGCAGAAAGAATATAAAAGATAGAATGACATGTTTTTTTTAAGACCGTCTTATCGATAGATATACTTATATGAATAACAGGACAGAATAAACACATTTGTTTTCACGCAATTCATTAATTTACTTAAAAATATTTTTTTACGTGACATCGGCGAAAGGACTGAATCCGACATATTAAAATCTTTTGATGAATACGGTTTAATACCGGCTTAATACCTGTTTCGCGTATTGAAACGAGTGTGACTGCACAACGCACATGTCTTTCTCTTTTATTAATCAATGAAACAGTCTGATGAGTATTGGACGTGGTTCCTGCTTTCAGGTATATTATAGCCTTCAGAGGACGAGCAAAGGGCTCTCGTCGATGCCACAGAGGCCCGTTTCATCGTCGATCTCCGCGCAAGGCAAATTCCATCAACCTGAAGTGGTGACACGCTCGAATCGGATACAGGAGAGCTGTATATAAGTTCGGAGGGGGTTTTCCTGCGGGATCGACCTCGTGAGCTTCTAAGACGCCGCTGGCGATTATATTTACACGTGTAAATGTAACGAGTACAGGCGGGGGAGCAGCGTTATGTAGGGATCCGTGGATCCCCGAGACGCGAGCGCGAAGTCTAACGTGGTATCTTCCCATATAGTTGGTACACGAGTTTCGAACCACTCCGCGAAACACACTTAACGTTTACTGTACAAAACCGTAGAGAGGCTGATGGTGGTGTTCCAGATCGTATTGATGGGAACGCGGTCTCTCCTCGAGATTACGTTACGCCGATATGCCGTCGGGGACGGCGCCTACATTTTCATATATAATTTTGCGGGGGAGACGAGAAAGGCGAAACGAGACATTAGCGAGTTAGAGAGATACCCGTACATGTCCAGAAATATTTCTTTACTGCCATACTGAGGTATAAACGATATATCGTAACGTACAAAGAGTCTAACCCCTAAAAGTAGTTAATGTCAATAACGAGGAAGAGATGAGGCTGGGTCAAAAGGGAGCTGAAGAAAACTTTAACGACGCTTTATACCTTATTCATACTTCCGTTTTCCAAGTCGGGTACAAAACGGCGTCTTTATATATGGACCTCAACATACTAATTCTTTTGGAATTTTTACAACCTATCAAAACTACTTTCAAAGTAGAGTTGCTCTTACAGCAACTGTAAGGTAACACGATTGAGAACATCAAAGCTCATTCTCCAGCCTTATCCTCAAAAGTACTAACGATATTAATGTGATCGTATTCGAAGCTCATCACTGCTCATGTTTTTTCGTACGCAAAATTTTTATAACAATTCAGACAGAAAATAAAAATTCGTTCAAAAGACTTCGCCGAACTCAAGAGAATCTCTTAAGGAGCGACGTCTTCGTTCCCGATCACTGACGCGGCACTGACGAACGTGGATTTTACTGTTTATATATGGAACTAGTTTTTGTACAAAGATCTATTGTAAATAGACACGAGCCTGGCCCTAGAATTATAGTCACTAATGTCCGAATTTCATCCGTTACACGTTAAGTCGAGAGGTGTCCGATCGCGTAAGATAAAAACTCGATGGCATACGAATACGAATAAAGAGAATACGTTTCATCTGTTTTACACAAACTCATTTTCTTGTTTTTCCTTCCTTGACCTTACATCTTTTCTCTCCGTTAAGATCAAAGGACGCATGGCACGAGGAAGCAAAATTCCTACGGTACGTGAAACGAATTTATTCGCGCAACATATACATACTTGTGTGTCTTACGCTTCCATTACTCCTCATACTCTCCATTTCGAACGTGAAAGACATATATTTCTCTACGCTTGAGTGTAACAACGCGAGCGTACGTGCTATGCAACACGTACTTAATACGGAACATAACGACATTGATGCATATCTCAATTTTCTGTTGTATTTAATGACGTGAAGTATCAATTATTTTGCCATGTTATTGAAAAAGCTCCAGCTTCTCTCTATTAGCGAATATTCACGAGCCACTTGATACCACTGTAAGAGAGTGCATGATTATAAGAATTGTGTGAAATATCATTTTACTTTATTTGCATCCTCATTTCTCAGGTAAGTACCTATCACACTTCTAATACACCAACAGTGGCACGAGTAATTACGGAGGATAGCAGCCTTTAATAACGGCGGGAGATGCAAACGTTTAATGCCAGTCTCGGTATGCCCGAGATGCGCGTCGACATCGCAATATGGGGGAGAGGCGATATATTTGGCAAAAAGAAAATTACCACGGGCGAGACGTATCGCGCCATTTCCTCGAGATAAACGCGCCGCGCGAAATGGCTGAAGTGCTTTAAGGAAAACAGATCGTCGCGCCTCTCCATTAGCTTCGAAGAGAGCTGCAAAAGCGTCCTGACAGCTAGGTGAGCATCCTATTGGACGAAGAACAGTAATTCGAGCATTTCGGGGGAATACGGGGACGCGCTACAGTGTTTGCATACATTGTGCATTCTCGGTCTTGCTAACAAGGACTAACCCGGGTTGCCGGAGTAACCTATTATTCTATGTGCCATCCGTGTCTCCAGGGCTGTTAAGACGACCTATTCCGCTCCTAACGCTGTCGTAGCTATCCCCCATCAGACTGTCACCCATTCCAGCTGCGAGAATTGCGAGACATAATTACGATTCACCCAGGCATCATAATCGAATGATATCGCAATACGTGCAGATGGAACGGTCAATGATCGCACATCGTGCCTCACGGTATTCACTCGGCTAATGCTGTGATTGAATCACAATCTACTAGCTAGCCTACACTGTCTCCCTACAATATTGACAGGACATTAGTTTCATTTTGTCATTTATTTTTTTTATAAAATGCATCGTTCTCTTTCTTTCTTCGACGTAATGTCAGCTTGATCAATAAAATAACTTGTCAAGGATGGATAGATATCAATTCCATTTATTTTGTAGGCAAAAAATATAATCCGCTTTTTTTTATAATCGGCGTTTATAATCCTGTCTTTGCTATCAAGTTTGTAATATGTTCTGCCCGATATTGTAGAGGCAAAATGTCAAATGCTTTACGTGAATTTTTAATAGAAACTACTGGGAGTAAATTGTTCGTCATTTTTGCGCGAGGAAAAGGTGTCGCACTATGATACAGTAAGTTTCTGAGAAGTAATCGAATCGAGGCAGCATGCTCAATTAGCCGCGGAAATGATTTCCGGCGGTAAGTCCGCCGGCACGATAATCCGGCGAAATGATTCTGCGGTTACCTAGTCGACTCCATTTTCTCGCCGCCGAAGATTCTATTGGCTGAATTAAAAAAAAGAAAAATACACACGGAAGAAATACATACAGCGATGGTATGGAAAGTGTAGAGGTTTATTAACAGAGGATCAGCAAGATAAAACGAGTTCGCTATTTGTTTTTCTCCTTTTACCAATCCAGAAAAACTCGAGAGGAGAGAGTACATATCGTTTTCAAACATTAATAAATAATTCATATCTAAAAAATTAAAACTTTTATTAAATATTTTGACTTCTTTACTTTTTCTACTGTCTATTTAAAAATATCAATTTATTAGATTAACATAATGAAAATTAACGAAAAATAAACAAAGATCAAAATAAGCACAGTAGAATTTGCGTAAAAGTTTAAAATTTTTGTTGATATGCGATATAAATCCTGAATAAATTGAATGTTTCTGTAGTTTTGTAGTAGCATATCGTATATCTGCTAATAGGTACATAATATAGAAGAAAAATGAGGATTTTAATTATTTCCCTTTTAAATTATATTTTGAACAAGAAGGATTAGTACTAATTATTTATGTACACGTTTTAACATAATTGATGTATATGTGTGTGTGTAATTCACATTTATACCATATCCATGTCATTATATATTCGCGTAATAATTAATGAGTTCGTGCCACAGCATCGTGAAACAAGAGTTTCTGCACTTATTGTATCATATATATAATTTTATCCATTAAATCTAGAAATTTTATTTTAGGTCTCATACTTTTATTTAGCCAGGTAAAATGATTATAAACGTTTATCTTCGATTACGCTCCGATTATTTGCTATCAATATTTGTTTTGCTTCTATTCTTAATTAATACTTAATTAATATTAGAGCCGGTTAATAATAACAACAACGCTTGCATATTATACATCATATTATCTATGGTGTTTAAAATTAAATGTACATAAAAATTTTTTACTTATATGTCTGAATAGTCAATAGCAGAGTTTAAAAATAAGAATACTAAATAAAAACTGTAAATGATAATTTTCCAAATGAAATATGCAATGGAATTACTTTGAAAACGCGACAATTCTTTGTCATAGACTTAGCCTTGTTACCGGTGACATTATTCGTCAAGCTAATGACGTACACTCAACGAATGTGATAAAATTACGTCTAGTACTTAATCTAGTGAAACATTCGCTTTGTTTTAATGCGCTCTAACGAACGCAAAGGCAATTTTGTGTCAGCTTTGCTATAGAATAAGATGCAAGATTTAAGCCTCACAACGTAAAAGAGATAGACATAGAAAGAACAAATATTAGTAAATAAACTTGTATGCGTAATATAATAAGAGTAACATTGTGAATTACACACAATACGTGTCCTACATTCTTTTCTTCCTTTCGTATATGCTTTGAGCAATTTGTGTATAGAATTCATTTTTCCTTAGTAAAAATTTAATTGGATAACATGTGTATTTTTTACATTGCTTTTTCATATTCAACATTGTCGATCTTTGCATCAAAACAAGAAGAGGTAGAGAGAAGAGAGGAGAGAGAGAGAGAGAGAGAGAGAGAGAGAGAGAGAGAGAGGGAGGAAGAGAGAATAAATTAATTTAAATTAAATTTCTGTCAAAAAAAGTGATATTCGCTTGAAATGAAATAAAGATCCGTTCTCGATTTCTACTTTTTATAACTAATTAGTAAACATTCCTAATTAATATTTAGAGTAAGAGACATTTTTTAAATTAATTTAAAAATCTGCAGATGAAAAAATTAGAAGGCATTTACCATATCCCATTTCGATCTCGCTTCAAGTTATCAAAGTTATAATTAAAAGGCGAGTATTTCAGTCGTAAAATGATATACCTACGCTAAAGTTGAATCGTGACTTGACTGTAGTAACGCAGTCATAGTCACTTACATTATTCATCGGCTGTCTATTATCTTGGTGTACCGCGCAATCATTAACGAAGCTAATCGTTAGAGTTCGATTTCCGGGGTGCCGGCCATGTAAATAATTATAGATTGATCGCAGTAAAGTGGCAGTTTTAGTTCACTATAAATGTTTGAAAGAGGTGGCATCGATCGTCGCAAATGTGGCAAGAGATATCTATTATATATGTAACGAATCTTCACTATCTTTCGGCTATAAATCTATCAACAGCTTTCATCATCAGTCACTAATTTTTATCGGCATATTTATAATTTATAATCTTTCAATCCTGTTCCTCTTCTTCGTCGATATAATTGTATTAATCGTCCTTTTAACGTGTCACCTGAGATTACTCTCGGAACTACGCGGAAATCGTTAAAAAATAAATAATAACGAAGGCAGATACGAGCTTTTACCAATACACGCTGCATTATGTATCGACCATTCTTTCAGAGACGTTAATAAAATATATTTAAAAGTGTCGAGAATGCAGTTGATTCGTTAAATCCTATTAATCTCGTGTCGCTCATAATAACATTAAATCTGTGCTAACTAAATATTTCAAGCATAAACAGATATCATCATTGCGAAGATATATTGAGAAACATAACTCCAATCCTATAGAGCGTTATTGCTCCCTTGATTCTCAGAGCAGTAAATTTCTCGAAGTATTCTTGGCAGTCGGCCTGACTCGGATTTAAGGGGCATAACTCCGTGGCCTGGATTTAGAACCGCCATACCCGCTCTCTCGCAACCAACATTGTGCATACAACGACGGTCAATCGACGCAACCTTGTCGGAAGGTTGTATCGATTACATGTTATCGCACTGTCGACAATTCTTTTCTCGAAGAAGCAGCCGCTGTTCTTATTAAGACAAGCATATAAATGTATTGCATTTAGAGCACGGTATTAAGGAGTATTATAATCATAATCGGTTATTTAAATATTCAGCATATGCAATGCGTTTGAGATAAATTTGGTAATTTCCTTACTGATATATTATTATATATGTACCTACATAAAAATTCCACATTACATCACATAAAGAATGGTAAGAATCCTCAATTTCCGAACCAAGACATTTTAGATTAAAAATAGATACACATCACTTTAACCCTTAGTCTGTAAACCTGGGTCGTTTTCGTCCGGGCGAAAATCAAATATAGTTTTAACTTTTGAAAACGGGTAGAGAAGGTGCCACTGCGCATCCGTAAAAAAAGTTATGCTCCCCGAGAACCCGCCTACCGAGTTTCAAGGCGCCAGTCCCCCTCCGGCCGTCACAGGAGACAGGAGACACGTAATTCTTGAAAAAACGAGGTTTGCGGCGAACACTTAAGCACTTCATTTCAAAATAATTGCATGCAATATTTTTTTTATGAAAGGTACGCTTTTCTCCTTCAATTTCCTTTTTTATTCATTTCGATATCTTTATTTGTCTTAAAGTTATGATTTTTT